CGTTTGACATTCTCACGCCCTAATTTGTACTTATATATGTATATTTCATTCGTTTTTTCTTCAACTTGAAAATGATCTCAGAGAGATCGAAACGTTGTTTTTCAAAAAAACTACTTATAAGAATCTATTATGGTCATTTGATTTTTTAGGAAGAATGCTTACATTGGTCCTAAGCAATAGAGGTAATTTTCTCCGTCCTTCTATTGACTTACAGAAATACACATGAAAGTTTGAGAAAGTGCAGGAAACCCTTGGAAACACTCGCTTATGGCTCGCGTTTAGGATTTCTCGTTCTCAAACCTTCATTCGTCTTTTCCTTTCACACGAAAAAAAATCATGTTTTATTTCCGTTAAAAGCAAATATTGGTTTTTGACTTACAAAGTGTTCTCGGCACCAGGTCTCCATAACCGACTGTAGTGATGGTCACTATGGCCCACCAAAAGGCCACGGGAATGCTCTCGAACTCAGTCTCCTCGTCCCAACTCTCACAGTAATAAGTTGTGCTACCAAACAGAACAGTTCCAATTATGTTCAGAAAACACATCGTCCATAGATCGCCAATGCTCGCTCTGACAGTTTTTCCAAGGACTTTCATCGTTGAAATGTACCGAGAGAATTTCATTACCCGGAAAACTCTGGACAAACGGAGCACGCGCAAAATGTACAGCGGAGTACCAATGGACGAAGAGGCAATAAACTGTGAGATGTAAAATGGTACAATTGCGATTAAATCGATGACGTTTAACGGTCGAAGGAAAAAATTTCGTTTTTCTGGGGAAACGATGAAGTGTACGAGAAGCTCGAACGTAAACCAGGCAATGTTGCAAGCTTCCACTATCGAGATGATCTTGATAATCTTGACTTTTTCAGGCGATATGGTGCTTTTCTCGTAAATAGAATCCTTTGTAGAGATCGATGTAAAATTCGATGTAGAGGTCATGGTTTTTGTGCTCCTGAAAGTAGGGAGAGTGTCAATAAAGAGAATTGAAGCAGAACAGACAATAACTAATAATGAGAACAAATTCACCAGCCTCGCGAGTCTGCTTGAATCAGGAATCTCACAGATCTTCCATACTTCCTTCTGGAATTTTCTTGAAGGGGCAACGCGTTTCTTTTTCAAGACACTAGGAACTGCTAACTTGTTCTTCTTAATATCTTCGCTGACATACTGGTACAGTCCAAAAAATTGCAACTCGTCTGCAAAGAGCTGTTCGGGGAAGTTCTCATCCGGTAGCATCAACTCTCCTTTTGATTGATAAAAATTGAAGACGCTTTCAAACGCTGTTCGATTCCTATCGAAAAATAATTCATCTCGTATGGAATCGTAGAAAAACGATCGTTTCGCCCGATGCGCTAGTAAACTGTGAGGAAACTGAGATAACAACTTCACCGTAAAGAAGTACCTCCTTCCGCTCACGTTGACTGTGATTCCATTAGTACGATCGCTTGCCTTTCTACTTTTGCTGCGGTATGGTTGAATAACTGCTTGCTTCGAGTGCTCTCCGAAGCGCTGAAATACACGGGGCTGACCCAAGCTCACGCTCCGCTGTCTTGTTTTCGACCCAGTTTTTCTTAATCGTTGTCCGTGTAAATGGAGCATGTCGATTTCTTGGACAAGAGAAGCCGGATAAAATGCAGCTGTAGCAAGCCCAGGGACTGATTAACACGCAAAGCACAACTTTGTAACTTGTTCTTTTAATAGAATGATACAGCGAGAATAATTAGTCACGCACACCAATTTCCAAAGGTAACTGATTATGACATGTTAGCTACATTGTAAGATCAAGTGTTGTCACCTTGAGGTGAAGATTGCGACGACAAAACGTTTCTTCCAGGCGGAAATCAAAAGAGTTCATCAAAGACGGAGCGGTCCCATGTCTATTGCGTGGGAAGAGTCTTAGAAGCAAAGCAATGCAAATTGCTAAAGGCAGGGCAATTAACACAGCACCGTGCTGATTGTGGACTGTATCCAGCTGTTTGGGAAGATTATCTTTAGCTTATCCAACGCTAAGTGTTTCCATAAACAAAAGATTTGAAGTATGTGTTATTATCAATATTGACGCAGTATTTACAGCACGAACAGTTTCGTCTTAGGAGGCACAAACAAAGGACCCGCCACAGGCGAGATCAGTTACGATGTGACAGAACCAGATATTAACTCAAATATTTCCAGCTGAATATTAGATTTAGTTTAATTAACCGCAAACTTGTTAACCACAAAAACACAACCTTTTGATAAACTTCTTATCTCGCGACGTGCAATTGGCCTTTTGACCTGAGCGTTTTTTAAAAACTATTCAAGTCTGTCGCTTATTATAGTACAATCTTGGCTGACAACTTATGTTCCATGTTTTAAGACCCATTTACTGACTGGGATGAAAAACCTGTAATTAATTACCCAAGCAAAGTCAGTGTTTTGATTTGAAGTGGTCAAAACATGCTAATATGTTTAGACCGATAGCAGTTCATCATTCCCTTTGATCTGTTGATGCCTTGCAGTGATAAAACAACCAAGTTCACTGATTGGCGGAATGCTTCATTGAATTCCACATTTGATTGAAATTCTGCCCTAAATTTCGAGACAATCAAATGTTACTTGACATCGATTGATTGCACTTAGTTTAATTTCCTAAAGAACAATGTACATTTTTGTCTCGACATTTCTTTCCCAAAATATAGTCTTATAATTGAAAAAAGGCCTGATATAATTAATTACTCGGGCTTCCGAAAGCCCGATTCATAAAATGCAAGCCGTTTTGTCTTGGTCCCCAAAAGGGGGGCCATGGCCCTAGGCGTGCCTAGCGTAGATCATAACTAGGGCGTGGAATCTGGGGATGAGAATAGGACAGATTGCTTGCTTTATCACGTGTTCGCACTTCATGAACAACGTAATCAGAATGCTGTGTTTTGAGAAGAACGGTTTGGAGAGAATCATGCTATATATGTTCATCTCACAAACACAGATGTCTGTCTTTTTCTGAACGGGTCGGTCCACGAATTATATTGCTTGAAAGCTTGCCAAATAAGCATAGTTCATGCTCGTTCTCGCGAATCAGTCAATTACAGCAATGCCCATCTCACCCCCCCCCCCGGGCAACCGGGGGCATTTGCTCACGTCGTCAGTCCCGGCGGTGGGGCATTTGCGTACCCGGAGCGACCCCCGGTATTTGCCATACGTGTTTCCGAAAGTGCCATGGAGGAATTCATCGGCAAAGACGAGGCGTTTGTTGAAGACTGGCTAGTCCGTCAGGGACTAGACAAACTTGTGGATATTTTCAAAGGTACGATTTCTCAATTTAAGATACTCCTTGATTACTTGTAAGCATATAAATAAAAGCAACAACATGAACTATATTTTGTTTGAAAACAAGGCCCCGGGTTCGCGCAGCAAAAAGCGGAATGTTTTCAAAAATGACCGTTACAAAGTTCTGAAAAACTCTTTAGTAATTTTAAAGTTTTATTTTAAATGCTATCTTGTCTTGAAAATTATCTGATGTGGACTGATGACCATCTAATAATCAAGGCCTGAAAACGTTTTGAATATTGGCTTCTTGAATACTGATTTAACCACATTTAACGACAGCAATCGTGCAAATGATAATTCTACCTTGTTTAGGACAACTTCAGGCCCGGTGCAAGAAAGACCCTCATAGCTTTATATACCCCGCTCAGGGGGACATCGACGTCCAAACCGTACCCTGCCGGTTGGCACAGTTACTGTGTAACGCAGTACTAATTTCCTGGGAGTACAAACTTTGCACTTATATGTAGTCACACTAAACCTCGAAACGAAACTTTCCTTTAAATGCACTGGTAGGCAAATAACAAATTAATAACCAATAGTGCAGTATCCTTTCGCCGCTGTACATTTCATCAGTGTTAGGTCTGTGAATTTAAGGGTTACAAACCGATTTCTTTGTCTGTGTTTTTTTTTTCCTTCACGGAAAGCAATGAGATAAAGCTTTCACACATTCAGTCACTGACTCCTTCGAAGGCTCACACGTTGTTGATGTAAATAAAAACGATACCAGGCTCTTAGCTTGGCCTTCCACAAATATCAAGTAAATATTTTTCCGCAAATTCTAAAAAACATTCGAAATATCACAAAAATGTTTTCTAAAATCTCGAAAAACCTTCTCAATATCTCCTATTTTCGTTTTAAAAATACACCGATTTTGGATCACTTGAGCGAAAATTTTCTTGCAGTAGCAGGAGTCGAAGAAGAAGATTCAGGCACCTCAATGTTACCAGCATCCGCCATTTTGTAAATTGTTGTTTTTAGCACTTTTAGTCAGTTTCCAGTGGGAAATTGCTCAACTGGATTGTTTCTGGTATAATATTGTTTCAAGAAAATAGCAAGGAAAACAAATAAACAAAAAAGCTATGAATATTTCTAAATATCACTAATTTTTTCAAATTAAAATATCTCAATATTCTCTAAATATCTCGGAAATTTCTAAATGTCTAAAAATATTCGGATACTTGTGGAAAATTCTACTCTTAACACGTAATCAGTAATCTACTAAAGTACACGTGATGTTCCACTACTGTTATACCAAACCATATCGAATACTGCTTGCTCATGAACACCTGGCTTTCGCATTCTCTTGTCATTAATTTGAAACTCGCCCAGAGCTTTCCATTTTTTTTTATGTCGTATCTGATAACAGGTACCTAATGAAGATTTGTAAGGTTATCTACTGTTTTGTTCTTGTTAAGATGAATATTCACCTTTATTTGCCGACAAATTAAATAATTGTGCAATGAGCCACCTGTTATGACGTCACAAACTGAAAGTGAACAGGTATCTTTTTCAGCAGCTAAAAAGCGGAATTTATCATGGTTCTTCACTTGTCTTTCACGTTTATGCTCAATTCGTGGTAAACCATGCAAGCAAATTTACTACTTTTGGGCGGAATCGTATTTGGACTAGTTGTAACAGCATTTGGGGATCAAGGTACCATACGTGTATTGCCTTTTGGGAAGTACTTGTTATTATGTGGTTTCATAGTTATGCCGAAGTGTAACGGAGGCCCGACTCTGCTTCATAAATATCGTCTTTTCTTTCGAGTGTTGCCAACGGCCACTTTTTCCTCTACAAAAAGGATCGGTTCTTCAGTCTTTACTTTACAAAAATCGTTTTCATTCCATCATGAATCGCATTTTGTAAATTCTTCACAAGTTAATGTGATGTGTCATTAGTTGAGCTGTTATCTTTTACCTGAAAATCCAATGACGTCATGATGGCTACCTAGAATTCTATAGAGAGTAAAAAGTTTACCTTTTTATACCAAGTCAGGTGGGCTTAGCAACAATTAAGTATTAGGGTAATTTGCAACTATTTAATCTACTTTAAAGGTTTGGAAAACGCTTGACTTAAGTTGGGTTGTAGCAGCTATGTCATCTAGTGACAATTTTAAATTAGCAATGGTGAAGATCGATTAGTTTATTTGTATAAAGTTAAGTAGCTTAAGGATAAAATTGAATAACAGCTGCTAAAACCTACGCGCGCAGTTGAGAAATTGGACAAATGTTTGGAAATATCTTGAGGGCAGGCCAGTTGAATAAGAGAAACGCTTTTTCATCAAGGAAAATACATGTATATGAGAGATTTGAAAAACCAGAGAACATCGTGTTATCCAATAAAGTCGTTATTATTATTATTATTATTATTATTATTATTATTATTATAGTGATCGGCCCAAACAAGTTAATCTACACTCGCAAAGCCAAAGGGGAGAGCTGGTCGGTTCAATTAGAGATTATCGCCGGTTAATTCATGTGTTTTTTAGAAGTTAAAGGGGCTCAGTCACAGTATTTTGAGTTATTTTGGCCACATACAAAATTACCTTTAAATGGTAGGAAACCTGAAAATAACAGTTTAATAAGATAGAAAAACACCAAAGAGATAATGATAAACCATAAAGGAACAAGGATGGCTAAGGATGGAGAAGATTGACGCGGATTACAAACAACAAATTTGAAAAAATTGAGGCTAAACTTTTCAATATGCGCAATCCGTGACTGAGCTCCTTTAAAGAATTGGTATACAATCGCAAGTATGCGAGGAAACGACATCTAACTATGATTTGTCTCACTCACTCGGCGCACCATAGGACCGGCACGAATTAGCGAGGGGAGCGAAGAAAAACTGAGAGAGTTCCTATTCGCCAACTACAGCAAGAACCAGCGTCCATCAACACCAGCGAGGGTTTCTCTTAACTTGGTAGTCAAGAACATTGATGAAGTGGTAAGTGACGGAATTGAAGCTGAAACTATTGAAACCTCAGACATCCATAATACTCTCGATGATTACTAAAGCATTCAGAACTCCTTCAATAACATGGCTTTGCGACTGGGTGACGACCCTAGTTTGTTGAGGTCTCTGAGGCGGGGGAAGGGAAGGGGGGGCTGTAAAGCACCCGCACTGACTTAATTTTTATAAACGTTTTCAATATCTAAGTGAATTAAATTAAGGCTGCCTAACCTCCCTGAAAGTTTTCTGGGAACAATTTGGATTGACATGCCATTGTTCTCAGAACTTAATGGCAACCATATTTTGACTATTTTGAGGTATTTTTCCCAATTTAGACTTCAATTTCTAGTCTTAACTAACAAATTAACTTTCACGCAGTTGTTTTATTTCATGCAGTTATTTTAGCAGCGGCTGCAATTGCTTTATTGATTCTGTTTTCGTTTGAGTCGTTTTTGGTCTGTTCCCTGTTGGCTTTGATACTATTGGTTAAATATTCGTGGAGTTACGCAGAGCTGTAGAACATCGGCAAAAAGAGCCCAGTCTGAATAGAGTGAAAGCTTTCTTAGCATTCATCTTCACTTTAAGACGCCTTTTAGTGGCTATAAGGAGAGGATTTCACTTTTGTCAGACTGAATTTCAAGCTCCGCAAACAAAATTATAAAAAGTTCCGAAAATAACGACCCTTATACATAAATATATCATTACATATTATTGATATATCATTATATATCAAAAAAATTTGTCCCCGAAACTGGCGAATACATATTCTAGCTTCAGCTAATTGCAATTCCGCTTTACAACCTAGCGCGGTGGCCTAGCCTCATGGTTAGCGCGCTTATCTCCGGATCAAGCGGTCCGGGTTCGATTCCTGGTCGGGAACATTTGTTGTGTTCTTGGGCAAGACAGCTTCATCTGAAAGTGCCTCTCTCCACCCAGGTGTATAAATGGCTAATGCCCACGGGCGAATTTAATGCTGGGGGGTAACCCTGCGATGGACTAGCATCCCATCCACTTGGGAGTAGAAATACTCCTAGTCGCTTCATGCTAGAGAAGCCGGATTAGCTCCGGCCTGATAGACCGCTTGGCTCGCCGATACGGACTTAACCTTTTACCTTTTACAAACCAGCCGAACGACTAACACAGAAAGTATTTTCCTTATTATGAATATAGGATCCAATGAAGGAGCGAATTAGTTTGAAAATCTGGTTTCGAATGGTAAGTAACAAGAGGTCACCATGATGGTCATCGTCCCTTGTAAGTAACTAAACAAGTAGCTAAATAATAGTTTAAAATAAATTTCTAGACAAAAGATAATATTCCTAGTTCTTCAGCTTTCACAAGATTTATGTTCCATAACGCTCGAAATCTCAGATCTATTTAATTAATTGTTATGTTTTCAAAGAAAAAAGAAGCTAAATTTGTTTTTCATTTCTTTCGTGTCTCTCGTTAGTATTGGGCGGACAACCGGTTGCAATGGAACTCTTCGGAAAACAATATAAGTTCGTTGACGTTAGATTTTGAGGAGATCTGGACTCCAGACGTAGCTCTTTACTCAGCGTAAGTACCAACATGATAGCAGTCACGTGACATGTAGTCAGGGCAATACATTGATAACCAATCATGCAAAGCAGCAGTTTAAGAATCTCACGTTTCTCAAGATCTACTCAGTTCTTCTCTCATTGTCAGAACTATACATGTAAAAGTAATCAAATGGTGACGAGTGATATTAAATTGGTGATGCGCGTTTTGTCAAAATTTTCATAGTTTTCCGAGCCTTTAGAAAGGAAAATTATGAGAATTTTGACAAAACGAAAGTGAAATTATTTCTTAATTTTCTTAATTATTTCTTAATTCATTAATGTAATTACATTAATTCATTAATGTAATTATTTTTTAATTTATTAATGTAACCTAGAGGGTTACGTTTCACTTGGTTTGACTTTAACGGGTTCCACTTTTACGCTACTTTTCCAGAGTCGGCACCATAAGAGACTTTGGTATCTCAAACCCGGACGGTTTAAAGATGAACCTGATTGTTTACAGCAACGGAATTGTCTTCTTCTCACAACCTACGTCCATCCAAAGCGCATGCGCATTAAATATTGCCGACTTTCCATTTGACGACCAGACATGTCAGCTGACGTTTGGTTCTTGGACTATGGACTCCACGCTGCTGTGGCTTAATCTCAATAAAGGTGGAATTGACCTAACTTACTTCATAACAAACAACATGTGGGATCTACTGGAAATCTCTGCAGAGATGCGCAAGCAGATGTATTCGTCTCACGACAATGACTTATCCGTGGTGGTGTATACCTTAGTTTTAAGGAGAAGAGCTCTGTTCTTTGTTGTCAACTACATCGTTCCTCCCGTCGCCATCTCATTCCTGTCGCTGTTACTGTTTCTCATCCCGCCAGAAGTAGGAAAGCGAATGGGTAAGGGTTGCTTTTTAATTTTACTCTTAATAAAGTACAGTTATCCAATGTCGTTCTGAAGCAATACACAGGAACTCGACATAAAAGGAGCTCAGTCACAAAATTTTGAGTTATTTGGGCCAGGTACAAAATTACCTTTAATCGAAGAGAACCTTAAAATAGTGGTTTGATAAGACAGAAAAACACAAAAGAGGGTGTAATAAACCATACGCGAACAAGGATGATCAAGGATGGAGAAGATTCACACGGATTGGAAACTACGAACTTGAAAAATTTAGGCTAAACTTTTCAACATGCGCTAGCCGTAGTAGCTTCGTTAGCATAAATCGGTGCGTTTGAAAACGTCATCATTTTTTAAAGGGACTAAATTTTTCGCTCATGCGGCAGAATTCTTCAGGTCGGACGGTCACAACAAAAGCGTGACCGATGTTGTCAGCCGCGCATGAAAAGCCGGCCTTTGGCATCTGGAATACGATTCCCCTAAAGCATGCTAACAAATTCTTGAACTTGTCATTGTTACAGAGGCTGGTATAAACCTCCTTCTCTGTCTTTCGGTGTATCTTCTGCTGGTGAACTCTAAAATGCCAAAAACATCAACAGCATTTCCTCTGTTAACAAAGTTCTACGGCTCCGCCATCATCATCTTGGTGTTGGCCATGTGTTGCACATGTCTCGTGTACGCCCTGTACTTCATGAACTCTTCCGGCTTGGAATTACATCATGCATCGTTTTTTCTCCGTCTTAAGGTACGTGCTACGCGTAAAAGGCCTTTTCGCAGTCCTGAATCCCAACACGGAAACTCCCATATGAAAAGGTTGCCTCGTAACAGTCAAGGTTGCTCTGACAATTCGCCAATGCCATTCATATTCCTGGCGGGCGAAGAGCTGACAGTCAGAGAAGACAACCGTCTTTGCCAAGACTAGAAGACAACACAAGGACTCTGATTGGCTGAAAATAAGCGCTTATCAGCCATATTATTTTCTTTAGTTATTATGGTCTGGAATTCACGCAAAACTCGACGGTGCGTGATAGACTCTGAGATCGTTTGTAGACAAAGAGAAGTTACGTTTTAAACGATTGCTATACACAAGAGTCTCTTGGTGCATTACCCATGAAACGCACCATGTTCCTTTGTTACGCTAATCAAATGCGATGTCATGTCTTGCAGAATTTTACACTTGGGCGGTTACAACCCCTGCTGTTTGCAGACGTTCAAATCCCCTGCAAACGTTCAAATCCAGACCCTAAACGAAGAAAATCAAAAGTCCATCCGGCAGAAACAGGTGCACAAACAAACATGCCGTGATTTTAATGCTGTGTCGGTGTTAGCGGACATTATGTCGGCATCGAAGGTGTTTGTCTGTTTGTTTGTAGGTGGGTTGACGAGAGTCACATGGTCTCGACGAATTCTTCAGAGAAAACTGGGTACTACAATTTTAGTTCAGCACAAAACCACTCGGTTCCCGTAGTTGAAACCTCTTGAGAAATCAAATACACACGTTTTATAATTTCGTTTTTATTTTGTATTAGTCCTTTCTCACTATAACTTAGTTCTAGTTTCTCACTAGTTTCTCACTAGTTTATCTTGAATAGGCCTTTTTGCATGTTGACATCAGAATAGTAAATTATTTCACTATCAAGCTCACTTTGAAAGTGCAAATTGTAAATTTTATGATAAAAAATTTCCCAAAGCAGCAAAGATGAAAAGAAATGCCCACGCGTAAATAACACAAACGTGCCAGAAGTTTGAGATCATGCTTAAGACCTTGAATTTGCATTATCTTTACTCCTGTTAAATTAGGATTAAATAATTTCAGCTCAAAAAATTCTACAATAACTGAGCAATGTATCTTGAACCTTTAAATGCTACCTAGTAATTTTAACGAAGGTCTTTAATCTTTTTAAAATCTTTTAGCAGATTTAAATCTGAAGGAAGTAGACTCCAAAACTGACAGTCAAATCCAGAGTGATGATCAAAAATTTACGACAAGTCGAGAAGCGCCCCTGATTATTACCAGTGGTAGCCATGAATTCCTCCCCCGGATTTCAGCAGCAGGACAGGAAGATCAAGAGGGTCACCTGAAGTTGGCTACAATTGGTTCTTCAATTGACCTCAGCAGCAGCTTTTCAAGTTTTGCGTCATTTAGATCAGAAGAAAACACTGCTGTAGCTAGGGAAGACATGTTGACTCCAGTTGAGAATGTAAACGATGCAGGTGCTCCTGAAGAGATCAAAAAAGTGACCTTTGCTCGCAATAACGATGGATTCGTAAAAACTGTTAAGCGGAGAGCGACCTCGATACATTGCACTGAGTCAGCGGTAAAGCGTACAGAGCACACTCTGGTCTGTTCGGCGGGTTCATCCTGGTTCATTCAGTCATCATGGGATGAATCACTGGAGGAGAATGCTGAAGAGTGCGGCGAAGACGTTTCAAGCCAGTTAAATGATGGACCTAATCAGTTGATGGCGCTGAACTCCAAGGGGAATAAAAGTGATTCCGACACAGGTAAGATGATGTGACGCAACGAGTCAGGTGATCAGTCGGCTCGTAAGTCAGTCAGTCAGTCAGTCATTCAACCAGTCGGTCAGTCAGTCAGTCAGTCAGTCAGTCAGTGACTCAGTCAGTCAGTGACTCGGTCAGTCTGTCCGTCCGTGCGTTTAGTCATTCAGCCCATCAGTTAGTTAGACATTTTGTAAGATAGCAAGTCAGTCAGTTAGTCAGACAGTTGGACAGCTCATCCGTCCGTTCTTCCCCCTTCCGTCCATCTGTCTGTCCGCTTCCTCGTCAGTCAGCCAGTCTGTCCGTCTGTCTGTCTGTCTGTCTGTCTGTCAGTCGATCGGTCCGTTGGTCTGTCGATTGGTCGGCCCGCCAAAAATAAACGAATTCAAGTTAATGTCCATCTAAACCTAAGTGTACCTTTATTGCAGATGACCATGCCCCAGTTTCAGACGGCTATGTCGAACTTTCCAGATCTTGTGACAGAGAAAACACAAAGAGATCGAACACGGAGCAATGGAAAAAAGCCGCCATGGTTTTGGACAGAATGTTTATAATCGTGTTATTTATGAGCATTGTGATATCATTTGTGGCTTGTCTATTGCTTGCACCTAGAGTTAGGAATAGTTTTAGTCCGTAACTTCACACACATGCAGTGCTTCAAAATACAACTCTTGGATATATTATACTCCTGTAGCCCATTCGAGGGCCATTAGTTTATCAGTTTTGACATCTTACTGTCAAATGTAGCCCTCTCCAATAAAGTCTACTAAAGTCTATTAACTCAGTCGTAACAGTTGTATCAACTGGTTATTGATTGTAACAAGTATACCATGTATTGGAGTGAGACGAATTTCATATTTCGACAAAAAGAGTTTTGGTCAGTATCATTTAAGTTCTTTTCAGTATTTATTTAAAAATGGACAACCTCTTTTAAATAATCCCTCAATCCAATTCAGGAAAACAAACAATAGCTTACATAGCGGCTATTCTCTGGGGCAATATCCCCACTCACATTAAAGATTTCAATGCCTTCAGCTTCTCTAAACAACTGGAATTCTATTTACTGTTTGAACAACATTCTGAAAACTTGTATTGATTTCCTCCATTCTGTCATACCATGTACATATCTCGAGATCTCTTCTCTTAAAATTTCTGTATTCTCTTAAATATTCGTAGAAATCGCTAGAAAATTGACTAGAAAACTGTCGGGTTACTTCGGTATCCAGACTCAAAGTGTACATTATTTTTTTCTGTCCTAGAATTTAAAACTGTAAATGTACGAGTGAATAAATAAAGTTGTTGTTGTTTACGTTTCAGCTCTAGAATGTCGTGGTCTTTTTCTCGATTTTAATTGATAGACTTCCATGGGGGTGTCCCTATATGATTTAACGACTAGATTCCATGTTGCCGTACGTCTGTTCAGTAATAGATCACAGATGATGTCAAAATGTGGTAACAACAAAAAAAGTGGCACACGAAGCGATAGTATGTTTGATTGACGTCATTTATCCATTGGATAGCGTTATTTGAGAACTTTAATGTGAGATGTACCTTACTCGTCCCCAGCCATCTCTGAGTCTCCGAAGAGAACGGGAGAAGACTGGGGAAAAGTAATAAAGCGGAGGTAGATGGGAAGAGAGAAGCGACAACCCATAATCCCCCGCGCTCCCACGCTCACTCCGCGCGTCCCTCGTTGATACTCAATGCGACATTGAGAGGCGACTGGGGACGAGTCAGTTGAAGTACAGTTACCTCACGCATAGAAGCTACAGCATACATAAGGCAAGAAAAGGCAAGGCAAGGCAAGGCAAGGCAAGGCAAGGCAAGGCAAGGATATTATTAAATAGAGATTAATAAAATTTGCTTTTGAAAAGACTCCCCGTAGTAGCTTGAGTTGCAGGCTAGTTCCTCTCCTATACCGAGAATACGAAACTGGGCCGGGTTGTTCAAAGCCCGATTATGCCAACCTGGGATTAGCGAGAATTTTTATTTAAGTTTTGTAACTTTTCGGTGAGGTTTTCTGTTTACATCGTCTGTCCTTCAGGTTTTAGTTTGAATAATTCACAAAACATAAGCGTGAAAAACATTTCTATGTAAGAAAAATTAGTACGCTGACTTATAAGGACTAGTATCCTAGGTGCCAGAGGTTTTCTTTTTCTTTTTCGGAAGAAGTGTTGAACTCACTTCGCAATATCTGGCTCAGCGAGGCCGATTTCCGTTTCGTAAACATTTACGAAACGACCGTTTACGAAACGGACAACTGCCTCAGCGAGCGGCGATGCGAAAAAAAAGAGACGTGAAAATATGAATGTTTTCTTCGCTTAGCCGCTTACAGGATAGCATGATTTCCTTTTAGGGCTTCAGTTATGCGACGTTTGTGGATGAGTTAATTTTTTTTTTTGTAAATGTTTAGTTACAAGTGAATTCTATATTTTATCAACTGATAGAGATTTAGGGTAAGTGAGATTTTTGGCGTGACGTGAAATGATTCAGGACTCACGACTTGACTCCCACTAAATAATCGTGATTACCTTAAAAACTATAATAATTACCTAATGAGACTAAAGCTTACCCTTAACTGAAAATTTATCATTGATTGTTCTCCGTATTTCTATACTACAAGTACAGCGATCTTGAGCGCGAAATGTTCAATTTGTTCCGTAAAACATTGGGCAGGGTGTGATCTCGTTAGAAGAGAGCTGAAGTGAGAGCGCAACATAGGTTTGACGGGATGCGGGATGAGGGTGAAAATGAAGGCGAGAGACGGGATGCTTAGTTCCTTGCCCCCGAGTGGGGGATAGGGCCGGGAGAGACGGGATGACAGGATTTTTAATCGCGGGATGCGGAATAAAAATACAGTATTTCGGCGGGAGCGGGATTTGCTCATTTTGATAGACGGGATTCGGGATAGTTTTAAAATTGAGGGCGGGATGCGGGATTAAAAAACAGAAAATCACACATTACAGACGTTACGCAGAGAACTGCCACTCTATCCAGGCAGGATCAGCATATAAGCATTCTGAGTGGGGCGGGATGGCGGGATTGACGCGAAATGAATTAATGGCGGGATGCGGGATTGAAAACACCTATGTTGGACGCTCCTGAAGTGTGCTGGTTTATTTCAGTGAAAAGCTTGGATAAGGAGAAACTTTAAACACTATAGATGTCTACTTTCAAAAAAAGAGTACAAAGTGTTTAATAAATGCTTTTATAATGCGGCGTTTAGTGATAGATTGAGGCTTGAGTTTGTATTAGGTGTAGAATAAAGTAGTGCTAAGGAATTTAGCACCGATATAAACAGTGCGATCTTTTCACCTTAGTACTCTTGCGTGCGACATATTTTCGACCGAATTGTTTTGTCATCTGGCTCCAAATTAAACGTCGACCTTCGTGTTAGCCTTGAACTGAACAAAATTCAGCTAGTCACTTAATTAAATTTCATGAGATGCTCAAGATTTGTGTAACTTGAGAGTAACTGAAGTTCAATCAATTTTAATTGAATTGACTAAACACGTTTTTTTCCTTTGGATGCAGGAAGAAATAACGACTGAAGATCGTGTTTGGAAAAAAGTTGAGCTTTTGAAACGCCGACCTAGTTAGTGACTGACTAAAAGTGTAAGTTTAGTTCAATTAACGACTAAGTCAAACCTACAAAGTGCTCACAAATGTCGCAATTAAATCTCCTTCTGTCAATGGATCCTAATGATTTTACGACAGTCCCACATAAAATTATGCCAAAAGAGAACTAAACGTATTTGACTATTTACAAACTATTCCACGAGCGTGTGTTTGATACAAGATGGTAGATAGCTTACGAGGCAGATAGCGCCGGGTTGGCTATAATCGTCTCATATCCAACAAGCGCGAGTGGAATAATTGTTTTATTAAAAACGTCCCCAAAGTACAGAAAAATTAAAACAAACAAACAAACAAACGCCCAGAAAAATTACGCGCACTTTTACCATATTTGTAGAGCACGGTATTGACTCATGATGGCTAGGCCAATTACATTATTCAATGATTCCGTTTTTAACAAAATGAATTATAGATCCACGAGTACCTGACAGTTTTTAACCCCTTTTATTTTTTCTTAATTAATTCTTCAGATTATCAGTTCATTGAATCGAGGGAGTAAACCGGCAGGTCACGTGAGTGCTTATCCATCCGATCATGTTGGTTGTTCCTAGTACTCTTCAACTGCTACTCGCCATTATGCTCTTGTTCTTTGGCGTGTGTGGTAATCTTGCCATCCCCTTTGTTTCTTATCGTACAACCCTCAGATGCCCTCACGTAACAGTTCTGGCGGTACTCGACTTCACTGCAACACTGATTGGTCCAGGCAACATGCTCCTGACTATTATTATGGGCCCGACTTGGCTGGAACATAACAACATACTCTGTCAGAGCCTGAGTTTTTTGAGCTCCTGGGCACAAATCACTTGCTTCTTGGTTCTATTCTCTCTTGCTGTGTTCTGTCAAAAAGTGCAAAATAGGATTCAGTCAGATCAGAGACACCGGGCCAAAAGAACAGAACTTGTTTTTCTTGTTGTGTGTTTGTCAATAGGGTTGCTTCTAGGT